ACTGAAAAACTGTAAAGGTTCAAAGGCCTTTTGTTGGTTGTGTTAGGTGCTAATTGGCTTTCTTTGGAAAGATCGCGGCCTTTCAGCATACTAAAAGCATTTGGAACCACCCAGTTTTAGTCACAGCCATGTCAATTTATCACTGAAGGTGATCGTTAAAGAGGCATTAAGTGTGTGTGTGTGTGTGTGTGTGTGTGTGTGTTTTGGTACCTGCAGCATTGCCATGCTCTGATCAGTTTTTCCTCTCTGTGCTTCGAATTCTGCACCTTCGACCAACAAAAGGGCTTGAATATCGTGGTCTCCCCATTGTGCACATTCATCAAGACCCTCCTGGAACACCTGAGCTGCCTCTTCATTAATGTTCCTCCCTTAAAAATACAATCACCCCATACACACAATATATGAACACGTAAAGATTTAATATCTAACATTCATTTTACCACTAACCTTTATGGAGCTAATGAAGACAAACCATTTATTTTATTGGCAAACCATTTAAAGTGCTGAAAATGTTTAACTTTTCAATTTTCTAATCCTGAAATCTTCTGGCACTTATATACCAAGCCTTGCACAGTAAGTGAAATAATGCAAGGAAGGAACAAGGTAATGTAGTCTTCCTCATTTTTAAGTGCACAGCCAGTAATAGTAGTTTCCGTAGGAGAGATTATTAATTTGTTTTGACATTTGTAATTCTTGTCATAGAAGTTAAACTTTCTTCGCCTACAATTCACCACTTAGATAAAAGGAGTAGCACAACATATGAACAGACCTGGGAAAAGGGTAGTGGCGTCAGGGATGTGTGCAACCAGGCTGCGGACAAGAGCTAGTCGGCAACGCATCCACAGATAAACTCCAATTCTTTCACCGGCCTCAACTGCTCTGGAACAGTCTCCATGCAGGGGATTTGACACACCGCAACCTTTATTACCCTGTAAACAGGATATAACACATGCAAACAGTCACAATCCATGTACAGTAAATCACTATTCTAATGCCGTAGCACTGATTTCATTCACAAAAAATGCTTTCAGTCACTAGAGTTAAAAAAATACAGCAACTCTGTAATCACTCAACTCAACCACAATTCTATTTATAAATTACAATAAAATCAAGTTAGACTCCACTTTGCTAAAAAGCATTTTGGCCTTTTTATTTAGCATGCTATAAATATAGAAACAATTACTAACTAAAGATGACATGAACATAGTTACTGTATTGCATTAACAAAAAAAAAAACAGTATAGTACAGTTACAGTCCATTCCATCATCGATGTCCACCTGGCCATAGCACCTCATCAACATCACAGCATCTGTACAGCATGTCCCCCTGTGTTTCTTGTGCTCCTGCCTATCTCTGCGGGTACATCTCAAGTCTCTTATTTGATATTTCCTCGCTCCTCGATCCTTGCTTTAAGTTGTTTTGGTTCGTCATCTCGCAGGCCGCCCCTAAGCGTTTATTTCTGCTCAGAGGAGTGATCTCTGAGGAGCTGTAAGCGAAAATACGCAAAAAAAGCCCTCACAATTTCTTCTCCTCCTCCATTCCACCATCCCTCTTGCGTAACCAGCTATCATGTCTCCTCTACCTATCTCCCACAACAGTAATTATTTTATAAATCTGATAAACTTAATCTGCCTCCTGATCTGTGTTCTGCGCCTGGGTCCACACTTTAAACTAAAACGTAACAGACCAATCTTCCTAATCATGGACCCAGCAGACAGTTTTCGATGAACCCTATTCAGCTCATTTATGACCTGTGCCTTGATGATATGTGGAAAAAGGCCATAAAGGACTATCACGGAGCATCTTCTAAGCCTTGGCTAAGGAACTCCATGCCAGCATGATATGCTGCTCAAGCCTCAGTTCCAGGTCCACAGTTTTCAGCCCAAGCCTGTTAGCTCTCAGCCAGATAACTTCAAGTCTGTTAGCTCTCAGCCAGCTAGCCTCCAATTTGATCGCTTCCTGCTGGCTAGCCTCCTATCTGCATCTCTTCCAGCTAGCGACAAACCAGATTCCCAGTCTGCATCCCTGTCAGCCAGCTTAGGGCCCACTAGCCTCCAGTTACCATCCCAGTAAGCTAACATCTATCCTGGTAGTTGCCAACCTGATTCCAGACTAGCCAGTCTGATGCTCAGCCTACTAGCGTAGGAGTATATTCAGGCCTTACCACATAGTACACATACAGGGATTTTATATGCTTGAGTTTTGTTTAAACATTAAAAAGCTGATTGTGTAACTAACCTATATAAACATCCTACCTGTTCACTTTCAGTCCTGGCATTTGGGAGCTCAGATGCCGGTTTCTTAGAGCTTTGTATGGGTCCTCTCATGAGTAAAGGAGACATCTGCAGCAGCACCAAGGAAGAAACTGCCATCTCAGAACTGCAGGAGGATTTTACAGTAAAATAGTCAGGATAGTCAGGAAACAAAGATAAGCATGTAAACACACACATAGTACACATGCATAAGGTCGCCATACCTAAGTGAGGCATGTCCTTGCTGCAGGTACAGATTGGCCTTCAGTAGATTGGATTCTATTGCCAGTTCCAGGTTCTCAATTTCACTACATACCAGAGTATGCTGCAAAGTGGTGTGCAGCAAGGAGGATGCTCCTTCTAGCAAAAGAAACTACAACAGAGGAGATAACAGATATGGACAAGTTGACACAAACATATTTATGGTAAGATGCCAAGAATACAACAGTTGAATGCAGAAATTACAGTGGGTGGCATACCCATGTAGTGTAGGTCTACTGAGAAATCCCCAAATAGTCTAACCTTAATCCTCTCTGGAGTGAGCTTCTCTTTCTCTGTATCAAGAGTCAGGACTTTTGGCTTTTCTGTGATTAGACAGGAGCTGTCCAGTCTGTCCTGTTGATGGTGTTCTGAGTTTACAGAACAACTTCTTATGCTGGCAGATACTTCTCCTTCAAGAGAATCTGGAAGACATCCCCATTTAGTGCATAAAAAGAAACTTGATCCACAGTAACAGTAAGTCGTTTGTTTTGAAGGAACAAAAAATATGAATAAAATGAAACGGTTCAGTCTTTGGAGAGTCTTTCTGGCCTGTGTATATGCAGAAGCATTCTTGTGATGCAGTGTCAGAATCTTGCCGTGTAACAGTAAAGGTGGTTACTTGTATCCAAAAATTGTAAAATTACCCTTTAACTATTTGACCCACTAAATAACCACAACAAGATAAACTGGTTCTATTTAATGTAGCCTGGCGTGTTAATCTCAAGAAGACACAAAGACCTCCTGATATCTGGAGAAATGGAGAACACAAAAAGTCAATTTAATATTATGTCCCCTATGTATGTTCTTGTACAAATTAAACAGATTTAGTTTAATACACTCCAATGAGAGATGTCACATAATTCAAACGATATACCAACCAACTAACAAAGAGAAGAGAAGAAAGTGCTGACCTGGCACAGGAGGGCCATGTACGGTGTTACTGAGTGCCAGGACTAGTTGAATACGAGCAAGGTTGAATCGGTGGCACAGTGTGGATCCATACAGCTTGCAAACCTCTTGAGCAAAGTCACAGTTCACAAGTTCTTCCAAAGCCTAACCACAAGCACCACATACACATATTAGACCCACAAGAAACCAAATTAGAAAGCAAGTTTAGTAAGAATATTTTTGAAAAATATTGTGTGTTTTTGTGTGTTAATATTTGTGTTAGCACATTCATATGAGTGTATATGAGAGGGAATCGGACTGATATTTTCAAATGCATTGGAAAAGCTTAATGGCAGGCGGTTGGCTGCTATGCTAAGAATACAAAGAAAAATGTAACCTGTACCATAAACCTGTGTCAGTATGGGTATTTCTTTTAAGATTGATTTATGCGATAGATCTTCAGAAATCTAAAGAAATCCTATATAGAAGGTACCTCAGCATTGTCCAGGAGAGACTTGTTGCTGTAGAACGTCTTCACAGGCTGCATAATAAGCACAATTTATTATATCTATTCAATAAATTATGACATGTATAAACAAACAACACAACAATGCTTTCAATACTGTGGAGAGGCAGCATGAGATTACATATTTTGCCAAAAAATACTTTACAGTTACTGTTACCCACTAATGTTGTCCAAAAGTGTGCCAGGCAAACGACTCGTGAAAATACGATTCCTATATTCACTAATAAAAACATACCAGTAAATACTATATTTCATTTCTGCCAAAAGATCCTCCTAAATGTTGGACCTTTAACACTGGACCTTTAACAATACCCGTTTGCATAGGCTAAGAGGGGAGAAGGCAAAGAGGGAACAACATATGTGTCTCTTCATACTTGCAAATTGTCTTTGGCGATGTAGTGTCCATAAGGCAGAAGTACCCCTGTTCCATGTGTGAGCTGAACTGATTCCTTTACAGCTTCAGTGAACAGACACAGTTCAGTAAGGGCACGTATCTGCAGAAAACATCAACCCAGACTAAAAACTCCACCAGAACCATGAGAGGAAAAACCTTTACATGTATGTACAGTATATAAAGACAACAACACATATGCTAACCTTTAGTATTTTGCCCTCAACAGTGCGTTGCACATCTCTGCACACAGACCCCACAAAATGTAGGTAAAGGGCTAGTATGGGCAGTACCTGAAATTACAAACAAGATTCAACACTAAGTCAGTTAACACTGCAGCTCAATATGAGGACAGATAGACAGTGTTTATGTGTTTACCGTTATGTAGTAGCCTGTGTTGAAAAGCCAGTAGCAGATGAACTTGAGACTAGTTACAGTGGTGCCAAGGTGAACCCTATGTGATTCGGAGAAAAGGTCGACTCCAGGGAGCAGTTCATCTCCAATGCTGTGATAGGCATACTGGAGGTCGGCTTGAGGCTGAGCCAGGGAGCAACACAGCACGCACTAAGGAAGTGGGTTACACACACAAGCATGTCAGAAGGTATGCACACAAACACACAATAAAATTTAATGTGTAGTGTCATGAGAACAAAAGGCTCTCCCATCATTATTTCCTCAATAGAGCATTCAGCAACAAAAGTTGAGGAGGACTGAGGAGAGAGATTAACATCCCCTGGAAGTATTACCTTAAAGAGGTGAGCAGACAGGAGACAGCATTTGGTCCGCTGGCTGATATCAGAAGTTAAGATAAACCTGTAGGAGCAGGTAGCTTTTAAAGGTATATGCTTTACAGTAAAACCCCCACATCAAATTAATGATAAACCTCACTGAAACATACTGTGCAATCTTAGCAGTGAGCCCAGCGGCTTGTAGACATCCCCAAATGCCAGCTTGTTTCAGGGTTTGTTGCAGGGAGCCACCCCCAAAGGACATGCCATCCCATTTCTCTACAGTGCCTGAGCTCTTTAAAGCACAATCTACAGCTTTATTCCAGTATGAGTGTGCTGCCCTGGAGAAAAAACACAGGCAGGAATGAAATTATTACAAGAATGTAAGGAAAATCATGAAAAGCTCCACTTACATACTTGGTTAATTGCAGGTTCATGTATGCACTAAAAGGCTGTAGGCTTTCTTCAACACACAGACATACATACTCAGGCAAAAGATTCTAACCGTGTGTTTCCATTGTAGAACTGTAGGTTTCCCATTTCATGCAGTGCCAGAACTTTGAGGGAGTCATGACTGTTGGCCTGGAGATACTCTAAAGAAAAGTTGGATGGAGATGGGAAGGAAAGGACAGCCTGACACATATATTCCAGATATTCCATGCTATTATGTAGTCATTTAGTCTACTGGTACTCTCTATAACACATCTATTCCCACCTATTGACAACTCAGTACTTGCCTCGTTTATGTATTGTAAGTGTGCTATAGAAGTATTTTGGGCTCTTACTAATGGAGGTGGAGTATGCAGCAGTGACAGTCGGCATGTGGTCACGGCTGATAGGGAGGCTGTAGATAGCACTTGGAGTACTGTAGTCCTCCTCCATCAGGTCGCAAGGTTGGATGTTTGGAGTGGGCCTTACTATGGGACTGAAATCCACCAGGCTTGTAGAATGGCTGAGACTTCTGCTCTGACAGTGCTGAAACTGTGCCACAAAGCCTGAAGAGACATACAAGCAGTGCAAATAGTGAGAGTTTCAAACAGATGCTGTGTGAGTGAGTGTGTGAGGCCACTCAATGAGCACTGAACTCACAGGGTTGTGTGTGTCCCAGAAGCAGCAGCAGCAGCAATGAGCGACTATGCTGAAGAACCTGAAGACAATGTTGTCTTCTCTCGAGAGCTTGACGGTAACAGCTCAGTGTGTCTTCTACATCCAGAGGAACGCACACAAGGGACATGGAGAGCTGTATCTCTGCGCCTTAGACACAGAGCACATATACATGAAAACATTATACATGCAAACACAGTTCCACCATTTCTGTAATTTAACATGACATGAGGCCGGCTGTTCAAACCTTTAAGATCAACTGCACCTCGAGGAGGGAAGTTTGTTAGTGCTGCTTTTTTGCAAATGGGTGTTTGCTGTGCAGGGTGAGGGGTCCACCCACTGAGCAGCTGGGAGCCTGCGTAGCTCCTGTAAGTTACCTGACAAGATTCAAGATTCAAGATTCAAGACATACAGAAAAGACAGCACCACATATATATGCATACACACAAGGCTCCCACAGAGATACTCCACAGTATTTCAATAAATATATGTTCAATGCTAAAACATGTGCTACCTCCTTGCCAGTGACCTTCTGTGTCTTGACATGGTGTGGTTGTGGGACTGCAGGTCCTCCAAAAGAACTAATCCTGTCAAGCAGCCTCCTTTGAGCATGGACTAGTAGAGGAGTAACGATCAAGGCATAACGATCCCTGGGATAGACATACAGATGTAGTCAGACACACACACACACACACACACACACACACACACACAAAATATGGATGGGCACGAGATTTACAGGCTGGTTAATGAGCAGAAATATGGCAATGTAAAAAAGGAGCAGAGCTTTGTGTTAAAAGCAATCTAATATGTTTATTAAATGTTTTCCGTGTAATTTTTGTATATTATACTATAGTGAGTGTGTACTGTGTTTTAAAGGTCCTAAAAATCTTAAAATTTAAAAACTCTACTCAAATTCCCATTCATAATAAGAATCTGCCCCAAATTATTTCTAATCGCTGTCTCTCCTGAATGTAACTATACAAATCTCTATTTAGAATTAAATCTTAGCACTTGTATCTTAATAATTGTAATATAGTCTGTGCTTTGGAGAAAACAACTGCCCTACTCACTGTGTGTGTGAGTTGAAAACTAATGCAAAGTGGGCCAGGCTTTCCCATTTTTTACTGTTGTGGAGGTGCTCCAGAGTGTGCAACACCAAGGTGCGGACCCAACGCAGGTCCACTTGGGTGCTGTCATCCAGTGGGGCTGAGAAGTGGAGACCAGACTCTAGATCCTCCTCAGTCAAGTCGCTGTCATACAAACTCCACAGCTAGTTGGGACAAAGAGGAAGGTCAAAGACGAAGATGAAAGTCCCAAACAGGACTATTATTATTTTCACTTTATAGCTGTAAATGTGTTTTTACTCAGATGACAAGATGCAATGACCATGTAGAGACCATAGCGATCATTGGCAGCTAGGATAAGATAAGATAATAAAATTAAGATAATTATGTGAGTTCTTTAAACAAGCTGTTATGGGTGTGTGTATGGCTGTATGAGACTCCTCCCCCTTACCCCTAGTCTTTTCAGCATGTCCATGATTAGATCAGTAGCCAGCACCAGTAGCGGTGTGAAGGTGGTATGCAGCTGGTCTGCTGTGATGGGGGAGGGAGCTTCGAGCTGAGCAGCTCTCTGCACTAGGATAGTGATTCTGCAGTTTTGCTCCCACACAGTCTGACACACACACTGCAATGTCGTCCAGTGGCTGCCACGGTGGGCCAGCACCTGGAAAATTAGAAACATATACATAAAATACAATTCAGTACACACAAATACTGTATTGTACAGTATGTGACTGAACAACAGCATAAACTTTGTGTTTTTCATACAATATACAAAATGCCTTGTGACCATAATGTCAGCATTTCTGTACTTGTGTGTGAGAGTGTGTCCATGTATGTGTGTACAGTACCATGGCCCTTCGGAGATGTAAAGCAGCTTTGTTGAGTGACTCCAGCAGCATGGAGGCAGTGCGTTTGTGCATCTCAATCTGCTGTTCCACAGTCTGAGAGGAGTCCTCTCCCTCCTCACAACTGTCCTCTGAGACAGAGTCATCAACTCTGACCACTGGAAGAAAAGGTTGAGACAAGTGATGAAACACAGACCAAGTGATAATTCTTTCTTCAAATTTTGTGCCATTTTCCTCACCCTCTTTTTTACTCTTGTTTTTGTGTGCAGCCACATAGTCTCTAAGACCAGCGTGAGAAGAGTCTTTCTCTGAGACAGCCTCATATTTAGAAAACTGCTGTTGCTGTGAATTCCTCTGTACCAGGATACCAGAGAAGGCCAGAGAGAAACACAAGGGATTGAACTGGCTGTACCTGAAACAAAGCACATACATGATATTAGTCACACACACATGGATATATAATATATGTAGAATCACTTATGTTTTTAACACTAAGCATAGCAGTAATGACAACAATATATGAGTTCAGACACCAAAAGCAACATTAAATGTCTCCTAAAAAACTTTGTGTTAACATGTAATTGAAGCAATCTATTGGGCCAGTTAATGTAACCGAAGAAACCAAAAAATAGCACCCAGAAAAACACAGAAATGGTGAAGTAAAGTAGCTTGTATCTTGTAAGCAAACCTGTGCTGCAGGGCTCCTTCATGCAGCTGGTCCAGGCCCTGGTAAAGCAGCGCTAAATGGGCTTGAGCCATGTTGTAGTTGATTTGAGACTTCCACACTCTCTCCTCAGAGGACATGTTCCTCAGCTGAAGCTGCTTCTTGTGGCGTTGCACCACAGACGACATGATGGTTAGCAGGTTCTCTACAGCCTGCATATCCCTACACACAAATGGAGAGAAATCCAGTGCACATGCGGTTATGTGAACCCACACATATAAATACACACAAACACAGACACTCCAACACACAGATGAACACACACACACACACACACACACACTGTACCTGTTAGTTTTCACTCTCTGAAGCATGCTGTGGGGCATTTTCTGCTTTATTTTCTTTCTTGAATCATCGTGAGAAGGTGTGTTCTTGTTCTGCTTCAAAAAGCAGCACATGGTATTTATATGTGGATTTTATATTGAGGCAAAGCAGCAAACAGTGAAAATATGTTTCTGCAAAATGTAATTATTAGGGTTGCAATAGCTATGATGGGTACACAGTAGGTTGGTCTACGTTGCAATATCAGAAACCAGAAGACTGTTCCATATAATAAGACTGGTTCTCTGTGGGTGCTAGTGTGAAGCAGTTTTAAGAAAGCTAATATATAGAATCTCTTTAAACAGCTTTACATAAGCACATATAAGAGTACCAAGATACTCTATTTATGTGTGTGCACAGTTGTTACATGATATTGTATGTTGCTGTGTACCTACATGTACTGTATGTGTTTGGTATTTGTGTGCATATTTGTATTTTCACCTGAGGTGGTTCATTTCCTTTCTGAGGCTGAGCACTACTTCTTTTCTTACTCTGACCGTTTCCCTCCACACATTTTGTGGACAGTCCCATCACCTCGTCACGCCTGACAAAGAGAGAACCATTCACACTCTGTCAAATCTTTATCAGTAGGCAAAACAGTACACTACTATCTATAATGAAGTACAGTATGACCCATAAGTAAATGGACAGTAATGCACTGTTTGATGTTTTGACTATAACAGTATTAATTTGAATATTAAATGACATGATGTTTATGAAATTAAAGCTAATGTCTTTAATTTTACCAGAAGATCTATATAGTAAGAACACACCTGGAAAGAAATTCCAATATGCTTTGCCCCCACTTTAACACAAGGTCTGGGTGGCCTTCTTCCATGGTTCTCTGGAGAAGCAGTGTCGCAATCTCAATAAAATACGTCTTTCGTCTGAGCTTCATCACTATTAAGAACGCACACACAAAAACACTGGTGTGAATGAACAAGACTAATTATTCATTAAAAAAAGTATCTGAGTGTGTTTCACTTACCATCTTGATAGGCTTCCTTTAATGGGATGTTGGAGATCAGCTCATACAATATGGTAGGATCCTCACAGCCAGTCAGTGGATGTGGAATCTCTACAGAAGACAATACAGTATTGAAAGTGAAAAGTTTATGTGTATTATTGTTGCCAAAATGTTGAAACAAATGCTGCCTGGCATATTTTCAACAAACATGGATTTAATTAATAACAAAAAGGCAAAACTACTAACACTTGCTAAACACACCACATATTTCCAACATACTTGCATTTTTAAAAAATCATTTAAACAGGTGTGTGTTTGTTTATATGTGTCTTACCATTGTCCGCTGTCAGAGCTACTTCAGATGTGATTCTTTCCTTGTTTTTCCAATTCAGTGCCTTCAGCTGAAGACTTATCTTCATTTCATCCTTGACTGCAGCATTATCTGTCTTAGACTGCACACACACAAACAGAGAGAGAGACACACTAAAACAAAATATTCTTCAAGTGGCATCTAAATATCAAAACATCACATCAAATTAATTTCCTTTCATGATCTAACACCATTCTCAGAGTATAAATCGTTAAATGAAGCTATACTTTTTCCCTGTTCCCTGTACCCACAGCTGCATTGGCATGTCTGCTGATCTGCAGCTGGGCATCATAGACCTCTTGAAGCAGCCTGCGTCCACAGTCCATCAACACAGAAGCCATCTGATGCTCCCCGAGCACACGAAATGCCTGCTCATGGAGAATGGAGGATGAGAAAACATCCTGTGTAAGGTTCCTGGTTGGTTATCGTTTGGGATTTCTGGGAACTCTAAGTCACTGTGGATTAATGCATCTGCTAATTGATCTACTTGAAGTAATTCTTGCAGAGGACACAGTCATCTAATACAGGGTGAGTGCATGTTGATCGAATTACACCTGTATTTAAATGTGATGGCACTAAAAATCAGGGGCATATTTTGAAGCATATTTTTGCCAAAATGAAGGCAAATAAAGAGGTAATGGTCATTTCTAGCATTTTTAAGAAACATCTATCATGTGCATGCACAAAAACAGCATATGGTACATATAAACATGCAGACACACCTTCGACAGGTAGTAGGTGATGCAGGCTACCATGTGCATAAATGACTCTGCCGTGTTTCCAGTCCATTTTTGTTTGAGAAGACCAGAATTTTCTTCCAAAACTATGAGGCATTTCTTTAGCATCTGGACATCAGAGACATAAACACACGCAGTTATGAATTATTAACTGTTATTATTAACTCTTTTATATTATATCGTTAACCAAGTAAAGTTGTCCCTCATAGGACAGAGTATTAAGATATGTGCTGGATTAGGTTTTGCATACCTGTACCACAGGGTCGCAAGTGATCTGATGGAAGATTAGAGGTGCCAAGAGGCCATAACAGCAAACTACTGCTTGCACGGCAGCGCTACCGTCATTAAACCACATTGCTAGTTCCATGGCCACCAGCATTCGCTTACACTCTGCCAGTCTGGCTTCCTGCATACACACACATGCACATATAATCTATTTGTGTTCATGTTAATTTAAAATACATAACCTTTGTTCACATCACAAGCAAAAAATGTACATGAACTTTCACACTGTGATACTGGCCTCATTCGTTATGCTGTAGTTTTCTGTTTTGAAAATATACAAAATACACGCATACCTCTCCATCCAGATAATTTTACCTGTTCCCAGATAAACAATCCGTTGTCACTGAATGAGTCACAGTACAGCGATCCCAGGTGAATGTTGATCTCTGTCTCAATAAAGATGGAAGTGAGGAACAACTGACATACGTAAGGAGAGGAGCATTGCAGGGTCTCGACACGCAGCCTTCAACGTGGTGAATGGAGATGGAGGAGAGGATTATTAGCAAACACAAAGAAATACAAACTCCTTAACTGACTGATGTGTTTCCCTCCTCACCCTGTGGTAGCAAGTCTATCCTGTGTGCCAGGGGACCCGGGGTCGGAGTGGGTAAAGTGGCTCCACAGTTCGGTGCAGGCTATCTTTGCTACACCATACTGCTCCGTTTGAAAGGCCACCTGAGGAAGGAGTCAAAAAAGCTACAATCATAATCCTGCTCTGTGATTATTAGTATTAAGGTGTCCATAAGTCTGTCATGGGCCAGTAGTGTACCTGTGCCAAGTGAGCCCACGAGGAGAGCAATGGTGCAGGCATGGATGCCAGCAGTGGGACTGTCGTCCGTCCTATGGTGTTGCCCAGTAGCTTTCCCTGGCTGCTGTAGGCTGCAACAGCAAACACATACTTCTGGTTGAGCTCCAGCCCCTCCACCTTCAGAATGCACCCACCAGATACTGCTGGTACCTTTAAACATACAAAATCAAACTGAATATTATGGGCACATCATGTAAGACAACAAAAATGTCTCAGACTAGACCTGAAACTCTTCTACGAAAGAGATAAATTGTACCATATTTCCAGTTCCTGGCAGGCTGCAGTCTCCGAGGCGGACTTTCCGGTTAATGGCCGCAGCTGTACCGCAGAGCTGGTACCAGCCCACCTGAGAAGAAACAAAAGTAGGAACAGATGAAAATTATAGATGTTGGATTATTTGCTTCTTGTTATATAAGAAAATGAACAACATAATTAAAAGCAAATCTCACTTGTCCCTCCAAGTTATATGGTGCTGGGGCAAATGTAAAGGAGTGGTCAGTGCGTGAAAGTAGGATGGGGGGAGGAGGAGGGTTTTGTTCTTCCTCCTTCATGTCTTTGTCTTTATTTTCAGCTGGATTTTTACGGGTGGTGGAGAAATACAGTTTTCTCTCCTCCACCCCTGCTTTCTCTATCAGGGTGGATGCCTCCTGGCGAGAGCACACAGACAAACCAGTACAATAATTATCACACTTGATAGTGGGATATATAAATCTATTCACTGTATACTTATACAGACATACCACCAGAAACAAGAAGACACAAATATACATATACACATTTGCAGATATTAAACATACGCAGTACTACATTAACATATATGTGTAATTATATAGGTAGGTGACATGATATATATATCAAGTTTTTTACATTAGTGTACGAACGTGTGATTGTTTGTGCATGTTTAACCTCTAGCAGACTCTTAGTTTGGTTGTTGCTGTTATTTGGATCCTTGTTGTTGTACACCAGCAAGGCTTTCTGGATCAGGTAAAGAGCTTTGGACACCTTGTTCTTCTTGATCCGATCCAACAGTTCAGACTCTGCAACTAGACACAACCGACAAAGGTTCAGATTAAAGCACCTAATTTAGACCCATTATTTGTGTCAACAATTAGGCATGTTGATTATTGACAGACATGTGGTTTTTAAATCAATAAACTTGTTTGTTAATTAGCAAGTGCATGATCAAGATGTCATAATTTGTATCAATGTAAAATTGAGTACAAAATGTAGGCAATCAAAAAGGTTTAATTAATTCTCAAAAATCACCAATGAGTAAATATGTCAGTGTGGCAGTGAGTCTGACCTGCGTTTAGCTGCAGTAACTTGAGAGAAGCCCTGTGACGGATGATGTTTAGCTCGAGATGAAGGTCTGTGGCCAGCAGGAACACGCGTTTGGACTGAGTGTGTTGAGAGCCTTTAATATCTGATTCTTCTTTTTCCTTCTTACTTAATTTATCTTCATTTTCCTCTTTTGATGGTGTCAAAAAACATAGAGAGGGAGTAGATGGAAGGAGGGGACCAAATCTCTGTCAGAACAAAAGGAAAGGTTAGTAGGTTTAGGTTTTTAACACTCACTTGTTGTATGTTTTCACATCTTAAAATACAGTGTTGAGATGCAAACCAGGCAACAGATGGCTTAGAATGGTATAGAATGAATAACTGTCAGACTGAACGTCTATCAACAACTTTTAGGTGTTGGACAGGCAAACTGCCTACCTGCATGAAGGCAGAGTCGGTGATTGCTGAGCAATCTTGGGGCAGCAGTGTAGCTACACCCTTCGCCAGAGCTTCAAGACCCCTCTCCGCTATCTCACACACCTTATGAAGCAGCTCTGTACTTGAACTCTGTGAGCGCACACAAACACACATTCTATTTTTGTTTACAGTATTTTTTAAAAACCTAAGCAAGAATACAGCACATTGGCCTTTTATGTGTAATTTGTTTTTTCAACAGTTGCACTACAATATACAGAACTATCATTTGAAGCACAGACAGTGTTTCCATTCACATACCTCAAGAAGAGAGCAATAGCTTGGCTTCACACCAGCACTGTTTGTTTCACGAGCTGATGGATAAGACATGAGAATAATAACATTGTCACACCTATGGTTGACTGAGGTAATATCAAATACTAGAGTGATATGCTATAAAACAACACAAGATCAAGCACAAAAGATGCATGATTTCAGCTGTCCCACAGACTAAAACAGAGCAAATGCTAGAACCTAATTCCTCACCTGGATATTGTGTTTGATGACTGCGTTCAGCTGCACTCTCTAGCAGTATGGCCAATGTGTGGATCATCTCTGCCGTCATTATGCAGTCAAGAGTGGCCAGGTCACAGGCAAAGGCCACTTCACACAGCACATACAGACACCACAGCCACTGCACACAGAAATTTTGAGGACATTGACATTAGACATACTGTAAAAAATTTACGTAAAGTATAATATAATGTATGTTTTATCCTTTTCAAATGAATCTAACAGCTCATTCAGTCCTAAACTCTAAAAATCTTACTGTGAAGAATAAAAGTAGCTGTTTCATATTTGACAATAATGTGTTCCCATTACCCTGAAAAAGTAAAGTTACAAAAATGCTTACCTTTTTAAATACATACCTTGTCGTGATTATCTACCTTCTTAAGGTAGTGTGTAAACTCTAGGTTTTGCAGCTGATCCCTCTTCATGACCACCTTTACTTTACCCCACAGAAATAACACAACATCCACAACCAGGTCCCCATCTGGCTGCACCTGCTACACAAACACATAGAGTATACACACTGAAAAAACTGCTCCTCTGAACTCTACTTCTAACTTTAATCTGAACCTTAATCGTCGGCAGATCGACCCTAACACAAACACACCAACATGGAACACACAACATAGAAACTTACAGAAGCAGACCCACAAACAGACTTGTGCAGGGTGTCTACGAGGCCAATGAACTCATCACTCATTGAGAATGAGGACTTGTGTCTGTCTGTTGGAAACAACACCACCACAATATACATCAGTAAAATCAGTGTTTATGGATATTTTGTAATCAAATAACTGTTTGTCAGCTAATATTTGAAAAGATAAATAATAACAAGTGATCCTCAAATTCATGTTCATAAGGCAGCCACAAGGAATTGAAGAAAAAAAGCCAGAATCAGTTCGACATAATTTCACTATTGCTACCATCAATCATGCTGTCCTCTCTACCACGGCTCCCCTGGGCAGACAGCAGACTGTTGAAACTATCAAATAAAGCAAGCTCCAGCTCCGCCTTCCTGAATGATCGACCTTCCACACCCTGACACAGAGAGACACAAAGAGACAGTCAAGATCATTCAGAGACACAGCACACACTGAACTGAATAATGACAACTGTGGTAGATGCTTGCGCGCCACTCACAGACAAAACCCGAAACATCCCTCTGGCAAGTTCAGTGAACGCATCTGGCTGCTTGTACTGAAACAACAGCTTAATGAACCTCATCGCAGACATGATGGGTATTTTGTTTTCTCCTAGTAACACAACACATCACGTTACTTTACACTGATTTCCAAACCATTGCACGAAACAAACATCTTTCAACACACAATTACGTGCTGTTCGTGTTCATTGTAATGTGAGAAAAAAAGGGACAAAGAAAACTATGACTAACCTGTAATGGCTAAATCCATTAGAGTGGATGTTGGTGTCAGTGCACTGAGAGATTCACTAGTAGTTTCAACTCCTTCACACATGGTAACATACAAGCACATAAGTCAATACATAAAGTGAGCATTCCTCACCTTAAATACCCATTAAAATTTTATTCCAAAGCATTTACAGGACTTGTATGTTTTCTCTTAATTATGCACCCCCTAATTATTGCAGAGGGTTTTTTCTGATGTCTGTGTTTTACTAACCAGATAATATACTGATCCCAGCAGATAGGAGTTCCAGGATCACCTCCTGCACCTCTGGTTCCTCAGGCATCCTGGTCTGCAGTGGGTGTCTGGTGCTGTCCCAAAGGGCTTCCAAGATGGCCAAGAACTGTGCTGCGCTGCTGTCAAACAGGCCCATTAGCATGCGCTCTGTTGTAGTACGAGGCCATGGGGCCTACAGTAGATATAGACAGGCATACAATTTTAGGTAATGTTACAAGAAAAACAACAAAATGAATTGAGCATCTAAGCAAACAGCCTGCTACACTTAATACTGATATACAATTAAATTAGAGATCTGTTGGAGAGACCTCTGTGGTTGCATTGAGGTTCCACAGGTGGGAAATAGCAGAGTTAACAAAAGTTGTAACAATTAAAATAATTCCGACAAAATCCAACAACAAATATGGATCTGCAACACTGAGTACATTTACAGATGAGATTCAACACTGAATATTACATTATTGATATGGCGGTAAAAGATCTTATTACCTTGGGTATGTCCTTCAGGCTGCTTTTGGTTTTGATTCTATATACTGGTTTGTGTCTCTTTCTGGCCTCAAACACTGCACGCTTGAACATCATAGCAGCCAACTGTAGAGGCAAACAAACTGTTAACATTAGCCCAGAAAGTAACGTGAAAATCTGCAGAAGGAAACATACAGTGGAGGCTATCTAGTGAAACTGCTATATAGACTGAAAGAGAGAGAAGTTTCCTCTGAGAGAGGTTTCAAATAAAGAGCTACTATTTACTTACAAGGCATGATTTGAGAAAAAAGAAATGTGGCTTCTCATGCTCAGGCACTAAACATTGGACTTCAAACTGATTAGATACAGAGATTGGCATGGTTTCATGGTTTCATGGTTTTAAGAGTATATTTCGGATATGTTATAAATCAACAAGAGGAGACACCTGCCTTGATGGAGGCTTCCTTGTAAGCTCTCTGAGTCTCTCTGGTGGCAGGAACATCATTGTGTTCCTCCATCTTTGCTAGCTCATTGATTTTTCCAAGGGCTCTCCTGGCAAATTCCTGAAAGCACAAATGGGTAATAGGACTTTAATAATAATAATTCAGAAATTCCATTTAAGAACATTTTCTATGTGACTTTAATATGTGAATTAAACATCAAATTGGAATTTTGTCCATATATTACATGTCACCAGCACACTGAAAGACAATGAGGAATAAATTATTTAACCTGTGTTTGTAGCAGTAATATCTTGATTATGCAGACATCATGGCAGTTTTATTAAATAGTCCTAGGTCATTTTTTTAAAAACAGAACAGCAGATAGACTGCTCTTAGGTTGGCTAACAGAAAACTGAAGAAAGATCAGCAACAGGTGACTCTTGGTATTTATAACCTATAAGAGCAGCCTGTGAATAGTCATAGACATTAGACACAGACGTTGTACGGTGATTGTATGTATGTAGGTGTCTGGAAGCAGATGACGTGTGTCTTTTACCTCCACCTGAACCCAAGCCTGGTTGTCGTAGTAACAGTGGCAGACAGCACAGTAGAGTGTAACAATCCAAGGCAGATACTTAGCATTCATCAGAGGGATGGAGAGCTCTAAACTGATGCTTGCCCACAGAAGGTACTCCAGTGCCTGGACAGAATCATAAATGGTGGCAAAAGGAATGATGAAGAGTGATACACACTATTATATCTACATTATAAATCACACTAATTTCTGCTTATATCACATCATTCATTCTGTAAAGTGTCAGTCACTTTTAAGCGTCGCATAGTGTCTTTCTTAGTCATAATACACCAGAGGGATAACAGGGAAACAAGCCAATGTGCAGAAAAGAGTGAATCACTTTACTTACTTACTTTAATTCACTTTTGAAACCTCAAATAAAATTCCAATCACAATTAGTACAAACCAAATGTTATGGGTTTGCAGATCCTCCAGTGACTCATTCCCAAACACTAATCATGCAGAGTCGGTTTCAAAACCTCTGTCACATAAAATTTCTCATCCATTTTACTTTTTGTTTTAGAGTGCATCAGACATGGCAAAAAAAATATTTTTAAAAGCTCTTTGACAGACAAATAATCTGTAACAGCTGCAACAAGAAACCCAGTAGAACATGTTCCATCTCTTTCAAAGTACCTGTGCACTACAGTTCATGGTCATCAGGTAACGGCAGATGGTGTAGGTGTGTAGCGAACCTGGAAAAGATGAGAAAGAAAAAGTAAAAGACGATGTTAGTTCTACAATAAAACAGAAAATACATGTAGAATTTCTGACTTCACTTTAACAGATGAATTATCATTATTAAACGAATGCACATTATGTAATTTTCACTAAATCTTGCTCTTGAAGAGAAGTGCCAACATATTTCTGGGAATCACAGGGTACCATTCGGAGGTTAACCTGTTGCTATATGAAATAACATTAGCTTTGTTCACAAAGTTAACAAAGTTGACTCCTGTCTCAAACTCTAACAACTCAACTCGTTCTTCCTAAAAAAAATTGTCAGACAAAAAAGCAAATAGTGGACGAAATTATCAAAGTTGTACTAATATACCATTATATATTTGCCAGCAGAGGTGCTCATGTTGCTGAAAAGCCTGCATCATGATCCTGATGAAGTTCAGCACTCGCAGCAATTTACAGAGTCCGTTGTGGCTGAGGACACTGTGTCTTTTCTCCTGCTCAAATATACACAGGGAACATCCATGCATTGCACGGACCTACACACACACACACACACACACACACACACACACACATACAATATATATGTATCAGGGTTTAGGTATAAACATTTCAAAATATCAATGTCAAAATGTCTTAGTAATATAAAACAACAAAGTACAACAAGCACAGCACCATCACTTCACTTTCACTGAGATATTACGCACAAAGACGCACAAGCTCATACAGTACAGTCACATTACAGGGTACCTTCATGGCAAAGGTATCTTGGTCTGTATCAAAACCTTCAGGGAAGAAGCAGGCCATGAAGTGGTCCACATCTGTGATGTCGGTTATTTTCACTGAGCTGAACTGCAGCAGGTGGAGACTATAGCCCTGCCAAAGAGCCAGCCGGTACAACTACAGAGGAAGGTGAGGGAAGAAATATGAAACGGCAACTGTGAATGTGTGAAACCAAATATTAGCAGGTATTATTAAGGCTACTGTGAATTACCTTTATCCCAAAGAGGAAGTCTGCGATGTGCAGCATGCGCTCCTGGTACAACTTCGGAGGCAGTCGATGTTTGTACTTTTTCCATATCTCCACCAGGATTTTAATCCTTCAAAATGAAAATCAAATCAAATTAAAAACATCTTAAAGCTAAAATGAACGCAATATGAAATCTGTTTCAAAGTTGGAGCACCCATTACACAAGCTGTGTATCTAATGTGTTTAACATTAGCACTCTGACTATCAGACAGCAGTCAACTCCACTGGTAATAATTAACAAAAACAAATAAAATAAGAATCAGCTTGCACATTTGGCTAAGAATAGCTGCCCCTACTGATTTATGATCATTAACAAAACTGAGTTTGTCATTGTTGTGATGGAAAGGTGGAGTTAAAGACTCTCTGGGGGCCCTAGTTGGAAATGTAGCTACGCACCTGGCTGCCCTGCCTAATAAACTAATAATAAATAACAAAATAAATGAACAACTTTGTGTTACTCTGATGTGCAGCTGTCATTGTGATAGCTATAACTGTTTTGCTGACTACAAGGTTGAACTGCACCCACCCGTTAGCAGAAGAGCTGTTGTCCGCACTAGTGGATGAAGCGGCTCGTCTCATCAGCGTTATAAACGAGTTCATGTCTCGTTCAAACGCTGAAATAACTGGGTTTCTTTTATCAAGTTTCCCGTAATATGAGGCCGGCAAATCCATGTCTGAGCCCACAACCGTAGTTTTTTAACTAGCGTACCATAACGTACAGACTGTTTACAGCCAGAGTGAGGCAATGCACGTTACCGTGGCAACCACGCTAAACAAAACAGGAAGCACACAATAGCTTTACTTAAAGTAACGTTACTGGTTAAAAATGTGTTTACATTCATTTATCCGCTCATTCTGGTTTTAAATAGTAAAAAGAGACTTTGCTAAAAGACATTTAACTATGACAGATAGCAACTGTGCTTAAGCAGGAGTCCCCATTCAGGGACCACAGCTCATGCATGAAGTTACACAAAATTATATATTAGTTAGTTATATTAGTTATATATGCAAACAAAAAATAATAATAAAAAACTCAAACTAGTAACTGCTTTTAAAAAAAGCAACTATTAATACTACCCATGATTGAGGCAGAGAAATTAAAGACTATGTAACTTTTAAAAGAAGAAATAAACGTTCTTCCACTTACAAATGGAAAGCTTAATTTTAATAAAATGTTGATCAGTTCAAGGCAGTAAGGGTATTTACTGCTGCAGCTGACCATTAGCTCATGTTAGCTAATGCTGGATAATGTTAACAAACTTTAGCTATTGCTGTATAATAGATATTTCTAAGTCAGATCCATGACCTGATGACTCCAGGCCCTGCCAGGCCAGCTTTAGCCCATTGCAGCGATGAAGGTTGTTGCTTTGTAATCAAACTCAATTTGGTTCAGTAGGCTATGGCAATGTAAAAATGAGATGTTTTAGTGTGGCACAATGCCGGGGCTTGGTGAATGTGAAAGGGGTGGAAGGCATTACAGTGGTTGGGTGATGGTTTCGGGAGAAAGAGCCAGCCTGCAGATAACACAATTTAATGTGTGCACTTCTCCTACATTGAAGACAACACGACCGGGAGGAAGAAGCAGAGACCGAAAGACATTTGGTTGGCACAACTTTTGCACAGTTGGAAAGCACTTCATATTTTACATCTGAGCTCATAGCAAAATGATACACGCCTAGAGTGTCACCTAATGCTGTCCCATACGAACTCATCAATTCCCATTCAAGATCACATCCATTCTGCACACAAACCCAAAGCTTCTGGCACTCAGAGCACAGCAGGCTAATGCTCTGGCAGCTATTCCTCAAACAAAAACACACAAGCACACACACAGATCCAGACGGGGGCATTTCCTGGGGCATGAGTATGGGGGCATCAGCAGTACTCTGAGCCAGAGGGAGCAAGAGATAACCAGTCACGGTCAGATGAAACAATGAGAGCGATGGAGGGATAAACAGTTGACATCATTGTTCCAGAAAGATCACTTGGCAGAGTCACCATGCCAGTGTGCATGGGAGGTTACAGAGGGGAGGGGGACGCAGAGGACGTGAGCAGAGACAGCACCGGGTGTGATGGGAGGGAAAAGGCCTATAAATGCGCTGCAGTAGAGCACGTCAGACCAAGTCAAACCTCCCTCTTACCCATCGTTTTTACATCTCATCTGGAATCTCATCATGGATATCCCCATCCAGTATCCCTGGTACCGTCGGGCCTTCTCACATCGACTCTCTGACCTCTCATTGGCAGAACCTCTCACTGATTGGCCACTTATCTGGCCCTTGCCCTGGTCCTTTCCCTGGATGCGCCCCTCATTCATGCGCTGGTTCAACTGGTCCGACAATGGCCACAGTGAGGTAAGTAAAATTGTCCTTGTGCCAAATTTATTATTTACATTTATTACTCACAAGATGACTGTTAACTGAAGGTGGTGAAAGATATCTCATCTAATACTACTTACGATAAAATCTGAGTTGCTAATTGTGTGTAGAATGATGTGACAGGCAATTAGATGCATTCAGATGCACTGAAATCTTTAATATGTGAGATTTGTATGTCTGATTTTACATTATTGAGTCAGAAATGCCACTGAAAAGTATCCTCCTCCACCGATGTCTCTGTATAATAATAGAAAAGTATGTGTCTTGCCCTGAGATGACAATAACAAGCTATTGGGTTTTTTTTATGCCTTGCTGCCTCCAGGCTGTAGGGCACGCAGCAAAATGTGTTAGTCTTGTTCCTAACAGCTGTACTGTCTGTGTAGATGCGGATTGAAAAGGATCGTTACGTCATTTATCTGGATGTGAAGCATTTCTCCCCTGACGAGCTGTCTGTCAGTGTCAGTGATGAGTTCATCACAGTACATGCCAAGCACGAAGACAGAAAGGTAAGAGGGACTGTAGAGATCTGCAGAAATAGTCAAAGAAAATTGATTCACTGACACTTATTTACATATTCTGTTTCCAGGACGACCACGGCTTTGTGTCAAGAGAGTTTCTGAGGAAGTACAGGCTTCCAAATGGCGTGTTAAGTGCTGATGTCACCTCCAGTCTGTCATCTGATGGTGTGCTTACAATCACTGCACCTCGGTCATCTGTTGGCGAAGAGCGCATTATTCCTATTTCCTGTGAAGATGGAACACAGAAACAGAAAAAGTAGAGCAGAGTCTGACGCTCCGTACACTGTTTCACTACTAACCCCAAGTGCTGCCTGTTAGTATGTTTAACCTGTTACAGTTTTGTTGGCAGTTCAGTACACATATACCGTACAGTAGTTGGGGCATACAGGTCTAGATGTCTATAAGTCCAAGTGCCTTCTAATAAACCAGTATCTAATTCCTAACTCACTGTTATTCTGATGTCTCTGCAAGACAATGGTGCTTTAAAACCAAAGGCTAATATGTTGTGCATGTGTAACAAAGTCTATTTAAACTTTGTATTGGCACATGGAGTGCAGGATAATGAACTCCTGACAGTTAATTTCCCTATTCCAAGTCATATCTCTCTGCCCAAAATATTCACACCACTACAAGGGCATGTAATCAGATTTTGAAAAGCATTGCCTTTGAATGTTATTTAAAGTTTACTGGCCTGCAGTCTAGTGAGAAAAATGTAAGCCTTTGTTAATTAAACCCAAGCTAGCTTTCAGTTTCAGAAATGCTAAAATGTCAATGTGAGGAATTGGAAATGCAAAGACTTCTCAAAATTGTGCACAGAAGATGACAGCAGACTAGTTAAAATCAGTTGTATCTACAGTACACAGTACTGTCTGACTGGGTATGAGTAAGATGGCAGCTGTGCTTTGTTTATTCTTTGAGAATAGTTTCTGTATGTGTGAGGAAAAGGGAGTTCTCCGGAGGCATATACAGTCACTAAAAAAAAGCCACCAAAGGACCTGGGACCAGGTGTGCACTCGTTGAGAGGAAGAAAGAGGGTGAATGAGCAGGAGGGAATGTAGTGGACGAGGGAGGAGACAGACAGCTTTTTACACTGGGCTCCTTTTCCACTGGGGAGCATGGCCTCTGAGCTGCTAAGGAATGTGTGAATGTATGTGAGAGTGAGTGCATTATGTGCTTGTAGATGCAAGAATTACAGCTCTATCATTCCTTCATATTGGCAACAACCCTCCGGCATATTAACACAGACAACGACAGATAGAATAAATCATGAAACTTAAAATCATGTCTGCTGTGTGTTGTTTTTCTGTGTGTATAGTGGTTCTGTTTTCAAAAGAACATAAAAATTTATAACAACATATGAATCAAGCTACTTTCTTGTTTGATTTAAAACAATAAGCACCACATATTATGCATAGAGGTTTTTATTTAATAAAGGAATGAAAATATGTTATTTTCAACAATGAAATGTCTTTATTATCCTATTATCAAATGGTCTAACTTTAACACTCTTCCTTCCATTCTACCAAATGTTCTTGCCTGTGCTTGGAAATATATCTGATTCCTTTTATTCTAATTTCTCAAAATAATACTAGAGACAGAATACCTTGTCCATCTTCAGAAAAAGTACAAGATTAGATGATTTGTAGTATTATTATTGCATCAGACTGCAAAAGTCATCTGTATTGTAATGTATTTTAATTTTAATGTGTTCTTTTAGTACTTTTGAGTTAAGTTACACATTTGATGTTTTTTATTAATCCAAAATAAAAAGAAAGATCAGCTGACATTGCTTGTTGAACCTTACATATTTCTCTGGTGACACACAATCACCAAGAAAAAGAAGTAGTTGAATAATAGAATTAGGGAAAGACATGCACATGCATTATTTAACTTTTGCACTTTTACAAATACTTATACATGCAAAACAGATATAGACAGTTTGATGGAGTATTACAGAGAATAGAACTGACACAATAATTCAAATATAGAGATATAACCTTATATGATTATAATCTAGAATCATTTTATGCTGTGTAGAGCTGTTGCTTATCTTCCAAGATGCAGATTATAAACAGTGTGGACATGCAAACCTACATTGTCACCAATATGTGTAAGATCATATGATACAAAAAAAGAAGTTATCTTGTAATGCAGTTGACCAGAATTTGATTCTCGTTATCAGTAACAGTAGAAGTCCCATTTCTGGAAATAAGAAGAGAGATAAAATTAATAGAAAGCATCACATAATACATATGTGTGTGTTTGTGGATGTGTGTTCACTTACAGTAGTCTTGACTTCAGTGCTGGCTGGCATGAGAGGATGTGTCTCCTCCACTACACTGCTGGGGAAGTGGCCAATACGAGCCTCCTGCTGTCCGTAATAGGAGTCTTGTACCTGCAAACACATCATATAGACACAAGTTATTGACTTAGGTCTTTTGCTTAATATATCAAAGCAACATGTATGGTCCCATAAATAATTTTAACTTACACTGCCAGCCCAGAAGAGGTTCCCTCTGTCCTTTAACATTGCATAGACATAGATGAGCTGCCCCTGTCTGATGGGGATGAACCTGCAGTCTCCAGGGTAGTAATCCTGCAGTGCACGAGCTATCAGGATAGGATCTGTACAGGAATGTAAAAAGAGTTTTTGTATCCAGGGGGACTTTTTATGCAAATGAAATCATTTTGCTGTATAACATGATTCAAGCATAGCTAAGCACAGCAGTCATCAGCAGAAAAATTAAGTTGGTGGGTGTGCTACTTACTGCTGCATTCAGAGTCAGCGCAGAGTTTCTTGTCAGAAAGTTTAGGCATCTGTCGTCCAGCTTCAGAGGTTGGCAGCAAAAGCCACACTGAAAGAACAAGCCAGAGTTTGCAAGGCATGTCTGTACTGTATGTGATGATCCGATGGTGGGAGTCTTGTGGGAGTCTTGTTCCCTTTTGTCTGTGTGCCGTCCCCAGGACAGAGGTGTGGCGATGGCAGTCCCCTTTTTCTACTCTCCCTACCCCCCTACCTCATCCATGAGCACACACAGAACTCCTTTCAAACTGTTCAGGCAGGTAAACAGGATGGGGGATAGAGAGGAGGAGGGCCAGATTAGACAGACCCCTGCTTGTGTCCTAACCTTCCTCTCTCTTTCTTCAACTCTCACCCTGTGTCACCCCCTGCTCAAACAGCAATGTTGGACTTGTTAACACATTCCTCAGAGTTAATCTGTGTGTTCCCTACCTTGGTCAGCCACTAGATGTCAGATCGGCGGCTGCCTTACAGCAAACACACCACTGTTCATGTCTTCTGGCTCTGTCTCTCAGGGTATTCCTCTCTGTTTGTTCTCTTTACCTTTTTAATTCAGGAGGTGGAGCTACTGGCTTTATTTACATACTGTATGTTTCCACTGCCAAGGAAACCAGCTGAGCCTCTCTTGTGCAAACACTCCCAAACACACACACACACACACACACCACACACTCACACACTCACCAAACAGGAAGACTATACCTGTTTGGTATGAGTCGGCTGAGAACTGTCAGGTAAGGCAAGCTTAATTTTTGCTCCTTCGATGTCAAGTTGAACATGGGTTAACATTTAGTTACTTCTTATAATGGAAACAGATTATGTTTAATTAGGAATGAGTTCATTAATTGGCTTTTAGATTATTTTGGAACAGATGACAGCATGGTTTCATGGTGAGAGGTAACAGTGACAGGTGAGCTAGCAGATGGTGGCGTCAAACTTAGTCTGAGGAGACTGAGTCTAAGGGGGGGAAACTATATGGTCACCAAAATTTAGTTTATTTAGACAGAACCTACTGGAAATAACAATATGTGGTAGCAGTGTCTTATCAATTTTTATTTTGGGGGGTAAAAAGTGTGGTGGTGATTGTTTTTCAATGATTTGGTTAGACATGATTACTTCAGAGACTGTTTTAGGAACATTCAAGACTTTGTTGTATTTGTAGGAAATAGAGGAGCACAATGCCTTTGGAATTTAGGGAGGGGGAGCAGAACAAAGATAATAGTGTTACTGGTATTTCGGTCAGAGTAACAAAAGGACCTGTCAGACAAAAGACCTCCTTAAAGGCTATGTGAGATTGTATTACTAGTAAACAACCAGTCTGACGCTCACACAAGTTATCATACATGTCCTACAAGTTACCGGTGAGAGTCTGTTTATAGTGTTTTTCTGTGTTACTGAAGTGCTTTTCTTGCCTACAGAGTTATCTATGAAGAACCAAAGATTTGAATGATACCAGTATTAGGACCATTGGCACCCCAGTGAAGAACAAGTTTGGCAGAGACATACTCTGGATCACAAAATTGGAAAGTAAACTTAATCCCCTCCAGACCAGACCACCAACAAACAGAAACGGATTCCTGATTTTACAGAAATTCATGGCTGTCCACCTGCCACCTGTGTGAGTGTGGATTACAAGTCCAAGGACCTGCGATGATGCTTTCTAACTGACTCCTACAAGCCTGCCAACAATGTTCACCCCAAGGAAAAACAGTCTTCCCTCCCCCAGTCTGGAGGGCTCCTTCTTCCCTCTCTCCTCATCCTCCTCAGTCTCGCTCTCCTTTGCTCTCCCTTCATCCATATCCTCTCCCGGCAGCAGTGATGGCGGAGGAGGGATAGAGGCGGATCTGATCCTAGCTGCAGAGCTGGGACAGGCTTTACTGGAGAAGAATGAGGAACTGGCAGCTTCTCTGGAGCAGAGCGCGAAAGAGGTGGAGGTAGGGATAAAGCTGCTGTTAACAGTGTTTTTTAGAACTATATAAACCTTCTAACACTACTTAAATCTATAGTGAGTGGGCAACAAAAGGATTCTTTTACATTTTTGTTATTCTAGCCTGCAAGACAATCATTATGAAGGTGGAAAGACTTGTAAGTCTGTAACTAATAACCATTGTTCTCCCATGTAAACCAATGCTGAGAACAAAAACATAGGATATACAACCCTTATTAAAAAAAAAAAACACTCACACTCCAGTAGCTCACCTGGTAGAACACGCCCCCCGATATTAAGGCTGAATCCATACTGCAACTGCCCAGATTTGATTCCAGCCCGTGGCCCTTTGCTGCATGTCGTCCTGTCTCTCCCTGCCCCTTTACCTGTCTATCTCAGCTGTCACTGTCCATTAAAGGCATAAAATGACAATAATAATAGTAAAAACAGTATTAAATATATAAAATAAGTAAAAAGTAAAAAGTAAAGGTGGGGGCATTACAACAGCATCGTGAGAAAATTAAACAGATTTACTACTGTTGTCAAATTTTGATATGGTACCACACTTCTGTCTTTGCAAATCACATGAATACAAAAAATAAATAAACAGTTACGAATGAGAAGAGTGCAGAAAGAAGTGGTGGATGAATGTATTTAGATACATATTTTATAGAGAAAAGTGGAAGCAGCAATAGTAGTATTTTTATTGTTGTTGTTTTGAACACTGCATTACACTGCAGGTATAAATCTGTTTGTGATACTGAGTAACGATATACAGGATGGGCCTTTTTCTCAGAAGATATTTTGACATGTTGTAGTAGGAAAAGCACTGGTGTAAATAATAACATTAATGATGGCTGAATTCCATTTAGCTGCTTCAGTTTCAGGGTCCTGGTATTGTGCTGGCTCACTCACACTGTCAGGACACAATACTGCGATACTTGAATAGAACAGAGCCATTGCTCGTGTTACTGGTAACACCTATGATTTGTACTGTACTGATTTTCTTCTGTGATAAGTCAAAATGTCTGCTGTGAAAAAGGCCTGACTCAATGGACTCAATGAATATCTCTCCAACAAGAATACAGACCCTTAAACCATCCATGTATTTCAATATCTGATATGTTCATGTTACCTTGAAGCCACTTCAGTGTTATGTTTAATGTCTCAGGCTTTACAGCAGGAGAAGCATGTTCTTCAAAGGAAGCTGGAGATGAATGAACTGACATCTGGGCAAAGAGAGGCTGAGCTGGCTGCAGATTTAGCTGCCTTGAGAGCTGAGCTGGAGCGACATCATAGCCAGGGGCGTGACCGGCGAAGGGATGAGAGTGAACAGCTGACTCAGTTAGCCAATCATAACCAGCGGTTGGTGGAGCAACTAGCAGAGGTTAGTTTCAGGCAGACTGAACCCGGCCTTGATGAGCTGCTGCACCAAAGAAAACATCACAGTTATGACATAATGCTGTTAGAATAAACAGAATCTGGGTGTGTGTGTGTTTGTGTGCGTGCGTGTGTGTGGGAATTGTTTGTGAGTGGTATCACAGTCACACAGACAGGAAAAATGCAGACTAGCAGGTTTTGAGAGTCTCATCTTTGTCATTCATTGAACAATAGATACACTTCTTAACGTTTCCATCTTCCACTCATCTAGGCTGTAACACTGGAACACTCCTTGAGGACTGAGCTTCGTTCCCTCAGAGAAGAGATGGAAGAATCATCTTTTAGCCGAAATATCAACTTCACACAGTTAGAGAACACACAAGCGGAGGTATACTTACCAGTCACTTCTTCAAGTTTTACACAAGTTAAATCAATGGCAACGTTTTATGCTATCTTAAATGCTGCAGGATATAGGCCAGACACAAAAAGCATTACATTTCAAACATAGCCAAATATGAAATTATACTACAATGTGAAAGTAAGGAGTGCTGTTTTTAAGTCTCGTGGGACAAGTCCAAGTCAAGTCTTTAAAGGTTCATGGCAAGCCTAAGTCAAGTCAATGAAACCAAGTCCTGACTGTCGCCTGACTGTTGCCTTATTTATAATCGTTTTTTGGATTTTACCAAGTCAAAAATAAAAAGTCTCATGTTAGGTCAAGTCTTTAGGGAATCAAGTTGAATTCATGTCCTCTTTTTGACTCAAAGTCTCAAGTCTTTAGCTCTGCAGCTAAGCACCAATTGAAATATTAGCAGAATGTTAAGTAAAGCCATAAAGATTTAGCAGACCTGTGGACATATAAATATACATATTTCAAAGCATCAAAATCTGGTAATAAATGTATTATGCTCTGACTGAAATGTCTATTTAAATGTTCAGCCAAAGCATAATCCAACCAGTGCTTATTTTGGACTCTAAGCGTTGAAATAATTTCACTTTGGTTTAACATTTTGTGTTTATCCATCTTCTTCTCGTACAGAACAGAGTTTTGCTGGAGCGGCTTTCACACATGGAGGCACAACTAAAAGCTTCTGAAGAGGACAGCGATAGATTCCGCACGGAGAGAGAGAGACTGAGAGACAGACAGTCAGAACTCCAGATGAAACTGAGAGATAAAGAATCAGAGGTGAGGATCAGTGACGAACTGTAGCATTGAAAGATGAATCCTGAAGGAGAATAATTTGCTGCAGGAGATACCACTCATCACTAACAGAACTCGCTAACACGACTAGTTTAAAGCTCTTGCTGTGTGTGTTGTGTGTGTGTGTTTGTGCCTGTTTCTCACAGTGTGTGTGTTTGTGTGTATATGTAGATAGAGCAGGAGCAGGGAGTGGTGTTTGAGTTGCGAACCTTGAATCGCTCTCTACAGCAGAAAGCTCTGAACCAGGGAGAAGAGAGCATTCTGGACAGCACACACACACAACCTTTGTCTCTGCTTAGTGAAATTCAGCAATCACAGGTACACACACACACTGAGTAACTTTACAATAGCGCCACAGTCTAACTTTTGCTTGTGTACTAATTCTGCCCTGTACTGACATCCTGCTTTAGACAATTTGAGGCTGCTACTCCAAAATAGCAAATTTGCTTCGAGTGTTTTGACTTTACTGACCTTCCTATCTGTTTTGTTGTGTATATTTCCTCCACTGACCAGGCTAAAGAGGCTCTTCTAGCTCACTCTACAATCTTGCAAGTAAGAGATGAAGAGATACGGAAGCTCACAGAGGAGGTCTGTTGAAGTGTATACAACCACACATATACATTCACTGAAAGGAGCATGATTAATGTAGCCAATCAATGTATTTGACTTCTAATTAATGACATCAGATAACTTGCACCTTGCTACATTTAAAGTCAGGTTACACTCAATAAGGTGTTTTACTAATTGTTACATAATTTGGAGCTTAATTGTGTAATACTATGTATGTGCAGAGTTTGATAGAAGGCTGTTTTCACATTAATTTGTTGAAGAGGGAAAGTTTCTCTGTGCACAGCTTAAATCTGAGTTTAAGGCATGTAAGACATTATTTTGTTACGTCACGTTTTGTCTGGAGCCAATCACGGTGCAACTTACACAAGAGTGATGAGGACACATGAAACTCCCACGTGACACGCACTGACATTTCAGTGACATAGGAGACATCTTGTGTCAAGTACATCTTTACACTGTTACAGATTTTGGATTTTTCCATAAAGGAGAACGACTAGATGTCATATTGGTCAAATGATTTTTCAAAGCAGAGTATTTTAAAGTATGTTAGTAGTAGAGTATGTCAAAAAACAACACTGGAGGAGATCTTTACAATTGATTGACATGATGGAAATCTGAGTATTTTAAATAAGGTTAAACAAAATGTTCTGATCATTACAATATGTATGGCTTTCTGTTTCTCCCTTTGCAGCTGCAGTCTCAACGAGACGAGCTGGAGGCTTTGAGGGAGGAAATAAAGCCATTTAGAAGCAGTCCTGGGATGCCAAGCTACAGGTAATGCTACACAACATATTTATCGACTTGAGCCCGCAGTCATATATGTTGCTAATCATCATATCAATGTCCAGTTCCTTAGAGAGTGAACTGGCCACTGTGCGTCAGGAGAAAGAATCACTAACCCAGCAGCTTCTCAACACCATCAAACACAAGGTGGCGCTGTCGGAAGAGCTGGACGCCTGGCAGGTCAGTTTGTGTGCAGGGATATGAAATCATAAATGATGTCTTTTGGCAACCCATTTAAAGTAGTTCAGTGTGCAAGCAGAATATTGTTTTCCCATCTGAACCTTTCATCGTGTTGCAGGAGGACATGCGGCTGGTGATCAATCAACAGGTGCAGCAAAGGGAGGAGGAGAGAAAGAGGGAAAAACAGCGAGAGAAAGACAGCACAGTAGGACTCCAGAGAAGCAAGTCTTTAAAAGTGAAGGGAGAAGGAAGCAAAGGATTCTTCTCCTTTTTCAAAGACAAATGACAGAGTGGAGAAGTGGCAGCGATTTAAATGGACAGTATCTGCCTTTATCTTTGCCACTGTGCTTGTGCTTCATCATGTATACATTATGTAGATCATGTACACTGTGACGTGATACCAGCAGGTGAAATGTTTACAGACCTCATATTTGAATTGTATATATGTATGTACAGTATATCAGTAATTAAGACTTTATATTAAAACTTTTAAGCCACCACCGAGTCTCTGGTGGGTGTTTTATAATCTGTTGTTAACCACAGTATGATAAGGCTAAAACATGTTTGCAACATCTTTTTGTACACTGCCACAAAGAAGGTTTGAGAGTGCGGTGCATTGACTTGCATAGAAAATAGCTGCGAATTGACACAAAGATGCCAGTTTGAAAATGTTTTTGGGGCTTTATGAATCTGGATCATTAATGTACTGGGGTGAGTTAAAAGGAGGGAGACTAAAAGAAAATAACAGAAAGAAGAGCGGTTTGAGAGGCTGAGCTTCACACAAACACAAAGGCACACTCCCACACATGGTGTGACCATTGCTAGCTAGCTCACGGCTAATTTCTGCACAGCTCATTGGTAGCAGCAAAAAAACAAAACAGGTCTAGCTTGCTTAAATAAGACAAGGTGAACATTTACTTAGCTTTCTGTCTGAAAACACCTTGGGGCAGAACAAGCTAAACTAAACACAGAACAGACCTGTGGCCTTATAAGGCTGTTGTGCTGAACATATTAGAAACTATTTAAACATACAGCAGACATTCACTCTCTTTTTAGCTTTGTTTTGGTCTTTAACAATTCCAGTTTTAACAAAAAAATATCTAGCTCTTTAGCTAGCTAGATGCTAGACTATGTATGTAGAACCAAAACAGTGAGCTAAAGCAGCGAAAAAGCACCTTAGTTCAAAAATATGTGCTAGTTATCTTTTTCTTTAGTGACCCCTTATATACATGCAATCATTTGATCCATTGCTAATACCAAAAATAGTGATTAATGGAGCTTTAAATATTAAAAAACACAATAAATGCACTGTGATATATACAAAACTGCAATGTATCACAACAAAAACAAACCAAAACAGTAAGTATGATATAAATAACATCTTTAATAAATTAATTCCAAAAGGTCAGTCTTTCCCTTCCACTTCTCTCTATGATTATTATATTACATAATGTATTTACATATATGCAACATTTCTTATGTTAAACAGGACTGCAAATGCCCAGAAGCAGCGTGAGTAGTGCAGGTTGCATACAGGTCAATGTTTCTATCTATATCTATATCTCTCTCTATATATATATATATACAGTATATATACAGTACAGTCCTGGCTCAGTAGAGTCAGTGCATAGCCACTCTCACATCCCTCAGCTGGAGGTTAGTACATATGGAGCAGCACCGTTTCTCTTACACTCAACAGGCTATGTAGACTCTCACACACTCTCATGGCAGAAAAAGGTGTACACACAATCACTTACTCACACACAGTTTTAAGGATCATACTGGCATTTTAGCACAATATTACCCATGTTACATTTCTGCCGACCAATTCCTTTTTAGATTGATCCACCGAACCAACATTTTTTCTCTGTATCACGTGGTAATGCTGAGGGCTGCAATCTTTTCAAACCGTATCCAAGTAGGTGCATTTGAGCAATCCGAAGCCCCCAAATTCAAGCTTTAGCAGACAGATGTCAAAAAGTGTTTGTGAGCTATGTTAAATAAAATCCACAATAGTGAGAAAAGAATAATGTGAATTTGGTCAGTTGTGTTTGAGTTGATTTTAAGTGATACTGGCACGAACATAAACCGATCTCTGCCTGGAACATAGGAAACATTATGTATTTGTTTACAAACAAGGGTGTGCTTTAGAAAATGGTCGGCAGAAAGGTCAGGTATGCAAGAATTGTTGTTAATGGGCTAAAACATGAAAACACTACTATCTCTCAATATACTATATACATTAAGTTTATCAATGACTACCTACAGTATAAAACTTTTATTTATTTACAGTACAGTACGCCCCTTATCCTGTCTGTTTCCATTGTCCAGAAGGTGATGTGTAGTCTGGGTTTAGGGGGACAGTAACCAGTTGTTGAGCCCCTCAAACTGTTCATCTATTTTTCCCGTTTAAACCTATTGTCACCCAATAAGAAAACATCACCTCAGTTTTGAGAGGTAGTTTGCAAGAAGAGATGCATCAATTTAAGGAAACATTTTGGGCTTCAACACCCAAACAGTCCACAAAACTTAGTTAGTTTATTGGAAGTGTTTAAGTGAGGCTGATAAACCTTGGAATATTAGGTCATTATGAAGCCCCTGAAGCAGGTCTCTGGATGGCTGTCCTGACAGTGAGTTGTAATTCCATCAGGGGGATTAGTGGAGGATTACCCCACATTGACGCCTAGGCCCACTTGCAGCTTGTCACCTCTGTGGTTTACAAAGGCACCCATGATCAGGGTGGCAGGGAGTGGGGTCAGGCGCTTCTCCAACACACCTCCTATTATGCACCGACTGTTTATCATACCTGGATACGCACACAAAAAAGGGTCTCATATACTTATGTTTACTGAGTAGTTTTCATTTAGCAAGTTGCAGAAAGAAATATACCTCGAAAGACCATGTTGGCCTCTGGGAGTTCCATCTGGTACCCGAATGAGGTTGTGGTCTCCTGCGTCCTGGTACTGGCTTCGAACTCCACCCCAACTTGGATCTGGTGAACACGGACACACGCAAAAGCACATTTTCAATATGCACCTAAAGTAAAATGGTGTGCTTATACAGTATGGTGGTATTTGCTGTACCTGTTTGTTGGCTCTGTGATAGTAGCTTGCATGGGCACCTCCTTTCCCAGCATTCAGGGTTGCCACCCAGTTTGGTCCTGCATGGACCGAGACAGAAAAAAGGTGAAAAGCTGCTGCTAAATCAAGCAAAACAGATAAGGAAAGATATCAAGATTACAAGAATCTCACTTGAGTACTGTCCAGCCAAAGTAAGAATTCCTCCTTCCTCTGCTCGGCCCCGATGGTAGACCAGCTCCCCTCCTAACACCAGCCCAGAAGACACACTCTGCAGGAAGTGTGCCACAAGGATAACTATCCAAGAGAAACACATGCAGATGCAGAATAGGTTAGATCAACACAAAATACCAGGATAATGCATTTTGTTGCTACATGTATGCTATATTATATTGACATTTGAATTCACTGAGCACAAAAAATAACATTTGACTGAATGCAATTGTATTTTTTTCTAACATTAGTGGATAATAATTACAAGCCAATATATTAGATAGGGATGGGAATCGAGAACTGGTTCCAAATTGTCCAAAATCGTATACCGAGCTTGTCAATTCCTTTCATCAATGCCGGCATATTTTCCGGACAGTTGCACAACAAATACTTCCAACTCATGTGTCTAGGCTGTTGGAAACTTGAGTCATTGTGAATGGGTGGAATGTTAATATCTATAAATAATCATTTCAAATAAGGGAAACACCAGCAATATGCTGAAACATCTTTCTACACACCAGGGGCTTAAACTCCAGTAATGCCATTGATGACCTGAAAATTGATCAGGAATCAATAAGGGA